CCCCGATGCCCCCTGAAGCCCCCTCCCCACATGCTCTCCAGGGTCTGGAGACCAGGACCTTCCATACCCTCCTGCTCCCCCAGTTCTGCACCCTCAAAACCAGCCATGCCCCCTAATACCCCCTCAACATGTTCTTTCAGGCTCTGCGGAGTGACCAGGACCTGCCCCATACCCTCCCACCCACCCCCAGTTCTGCCTTCCTAGGATCCCCCATTCCCACTGATACTCCCCACTCCTGCCCTCCTCAGAGCCTCCACGGCCCCAGCAAGATCTGCCCCATGCACCCCCCAGATCCATCCCACCCACCTGTTGTTCTTCCAGCTGCGCAGGGTGTCAGGCTCAGCCAGGCCATGCCGTGCCGCCAGCTCATCCAGCAGGTCAAAGAGGAACTTGACAGGCAGGGGTGGGGGGCACCCGACTGGCAGGATAACCCGCAGTGCCCCCTCCACAAATGGGTGAAGCATGCCCTGTGGGTGGGGGCAGTCAGCACCTCTCTGCGTCCTGAAACAACCCTCCCTCCCGCAATGGATCCCATTCTGTGGAGGGCAGCAGCGTGCAGGGAGAGAACCAAGGTGCCTGGCTCCCAGCCCCCAGAAAATGCAGGTGTCCAGGCTCCCAGCACCCTCCCAGAGAATCCAGGCTCCCAGCTCACCTGGCATCCTTTCCCCTCACCCAGGCCCCATCCAGAGAACTCAGGCATCTGAGACCCTGTTCTCTGATCCAGCCTGCCTAGAGAGCACAGGTATCTGAGCTCCCAGCCCCTCTTGCTCACACTCTCCAGGCCCACTCTCCTCTCAGAGAACCCAAGAGCAGGAGGATGAGCTAGACCTTAGGGGTAGCTGTGGTAGGCTCTGGGGTGCAGGGGGTCCCCTGAGGATCCCCCACTTTAGTAGAGAGCCCACAACTAAGATTTAGGGTGGCTATGGTAGGTTTTGGGATACAGGGGAATCTGGGGAGCCCTGGGGGGGAGAGGAGCAGTTTGGGGGGGCCCTCATCTTGGAGAAGAGCAGACTTGGAGTAGAGCTTGGGGGTGGTTATGGTGGGATTTGGGGTGCAGCAGAAGTCTGGGGGTTAGAGAGTTGGTTTAGGGGTGTGGGGTTGCTAGAGGAGTGCAAGGGAGTTTGGGAGGTCGCTGGGGGGGTGAAGGGCTGATTTTGGGATGTGGGGGTTTAGGGGCTCTTAGGGGATGCAAGGCAGGTCTGGGGGTTCTGGGAGGTGGAGGGGTGGTTGGAGATACAGGGGTCCCCTAGGGTGTCCCTAACCTTGCAAGAGGGCAGATTGATGAAGCAGATCTTTGAGGGGACATGGCAGGTTTTGAGGTGAAGTGGGGGTCTGGAAGTCCCTGAGGGGTTGAAGCTTCATTTTGGCTGCAAGGGGAGTCTGGAGGTTCCTGGGAAGGTAGAGGAGTTTTGTGGGGGTGCTAAGTCCCCATGGGGGAGGGATCCCTCACCTTGGTAGAGAGTAGGCGGGTGAGGTAGATCTCAGGGATAGCCGTGGCCCCGTCCCGTTCCCGACTCCCATGTCGTGCCACCTGCCCAGGCCCCTCCGGCTCCTCTGCGGGCTTCTCTAGGTGCCAGAGGTGGATACCCCCCTCCTCACCATCTTCCAGTGTCAGTGCATCTGGGGGGGAGAGGGGCCTGAGCAACACCCCAGACTTCCCTCCCCTGGGAACTCCCTTGATTCAGTCCAGGTCGTCCCCCCCCGCAACATCCCATTGGTTCAATCCTGAAAATCCCCCACTTCTCCCCATTAGTTCAGTCTACAACTTCTCCCCACATTCCATTGGCTCATTCCTGGATCTCCTGAACATTCCCATTGATTCAGTCCAAGACCTCTTCCCCCCACAGCTCCCTATTGGTCTACTGGTTCATTCCTGGATTCTTCCCCCCTCCCACATCCCACTGATTCATTCTGGATTCCCTGACCCCCCAATCCCATTGATTCAATCCAAGGTCCTGATTTCCACCCTCTGTTGTACCTGTTGGATTAGTCCAGGCTCCCCCAGGATTGTCCCCCAGCCCCTCATTGGTTTAGACCAACTCCCCCCTTCAGATTCCACTTTCTTTGTTGGTTCAGTCCAGGATCTGAATCCCTCTACAACAGTTCAGTCCCCCATGACACGCCCCCCCCCACCTGCTCTCTAGTTGCTTCAATCCATAATCTTCACCCCTACCCCATCTGCCCCACCCCGTGCCATGGTTCAGTCCTGCCCCCCATCCCCATCAGGGCCTAGCCCAGCCATCTCCACAGTGGGGGTGGCATGGGGGTGTGTGTCACTCACTGTCCCCTGAGAGGGGGCTCTGGCATGACTCTGTGGGGGAGTTGTTGTGTAGCCGTGGGATCAGTGCCACCGTCGCCCCGTCTGGCACCTGGGGGTGGGGGAGGGGAAGAGGGGAGCAGAGCCAGTGATAGGACCCCGGAATCCAGGCTCCTAACTCTCCCCCAGCCATTGATAACCAGCTGGACCCCTCAGAGCAGATAAAAGAACCCAGGCATCTGGGTTTCCAGCCCCCAGGCTCCAACCCACCAGCCCCCACTGCCCTTGTACAGTGGAAAGAGAACCCAGGCATCCAAACTCCAGGCTCCACTGCTCTGATCCCCCAACCTCCACTCCTCCCACAGAGCTGAGAGAACCCAAGGGTCCAGGCTTCCAGCCCCCTTATCTAACCCATCAACCCTCGTTCCCCTCCCAAAGCTGGGAGAGGACCCAGGTGTCCTAGCTCCCCATTCCTTCCACTCTCAACTCAAAAAGCAGAGAAGGAGCCCTATTGTCTGGGCCCCCCAGGTAGAAGAAACCCTGGCATCCAGGCCACCCAAAGCGAAAGGACCTCTGGTGTCTGGGCCCACCTTATAGTGCTGCAGGGTGTTGAGCCGCTTCCATTGGTTGTGGGTGACAGAGGTGACATCCAGGTCCGATAGCGTGAGGTGCCCGGCCACACCTGAGCGCCACTCTGGGGGAGCAGGAGGGGGTCAGTGGGGAGGAGATCCCCAAACCCCCCCTGCCCTGTTCCTCTCCTGCATCTGGGAGGACCCCCTTCCCCTACACAGTGCCTGAACACCAATGTTGCGGTTCCCCAGCACCCATCCTCCCCCCAATCCCAAGGGGGCCCCCAAACTTCCTTGGACCCCAAGAGATTCCCCACACCCCCTAGGGACCTCCAGCCCACATTAATCCCCCCAATCCCAGGGGACTTCTGTGTGCCCTGCAGCCCTAGGGGGCTCCTCCCAGCCCCCTATCCTCCTCAGTCACTCCCCTGTTGGGTGGATTCTCCCAGTTCCCCCAATCCCAGGGGCCTCCCATGTGCCCCCTCATTCTTGGGGAATCCCCTACACTCCCCAGTCCCATGGGGATCCCCATTCCCCCTATCCTCTCCCCTGCCCTCCTAAGCCCTCTTGTCCCCCCAATCCTTAGGGCCTCTTGTACCCCCACAACCCCAGGGAGATCCTCTGCTCCCTCTCCAGCCCCAGGGGATCCCCTTTCCCCCCATCCTCCCCCCCAAAACCATCATCCTCCCAAGCCCAGGGACTCCCTTGCCCAGACAGGCCCCACATACTCTCCAGACCCCCAACCCCTAGGGACACCCATACACCCTGCTAGGGCCCCCAGTCCTCCCCAGCTCCTCCCAATCCTGGGGCGACCCCCTACAGCCCCCTAACTCACCAAGGTCTAGGCTGTGGGCAGGGGGCCGCTGGGCATGGGGCAGCCCTTTGTAGAGCTGCTCCAGGATCTTTTCCTTGGCTTGGCCCACTGTGTCAGTGTCCAAGACACGAGCAGGGGTGAGGCCAGGGGGGTTAGTGGGAGGGGGCAGCACCCGCAGGGTGAGTGGTCGGGAACCCACGTCCTCCCGCAGCAGCCAGGCCTCACTGAGGGTGCGCCGTGCCCGCCCTGTCACTGCATCCACTGGCCCCTCATCCACCTGCCACCGGATGGCCCGGTACAGCAAGTACAGTGGCTCCCCTGCCACCTCCTGTGGAGAGTGGGGGCATGAGGGACCCAGAAGTCCAGACAGGGAATTTCTCCTGGCTCCCTGGATCTCCTGTGGTTTCCCAAGGCTAGAGGAAACCCAGGCAGTCCAGGCAGGGAACAGCCCTACCAACCCCATCGACTTTCCATAAGATCCCATAGCTGGAAAGGAACCCAGACATCTGGGTGGGGAACCCTTCCTGACTCCCCAGACCTCCCAGGGACTCCCACAGCTGAAAGAAATCCAGGTGTCTGGGTAGTGATTCCCCACACAGCTCCAAAGACTTCCCATGTGATCTCACAGCTGGGAGGGAACCCAGGGCTCCAGGCGGGACACCACTCTCCTTGCTCTGTGGACCTACCATGGACTCCCACAGCTGCAAGAAACCCAGGCATCTGCTCTAAGCCCCCAGCTCTCCCTCCCCTTTGTAGAGAACCAAGGTGCTGGCACCCCCCTCACCCAGGGAGCCCCTGCGTCCAGCTCACCCGCAAGTAGGGGTAGAGGCAGACAGACAGCCAATCCGTCAGCAGCTTCTCTACCATTGTCTCTGTCCTGGGGGACCGGGGGGGGGAGGGTCAGCACTGCTCCCCAATCCCTGCCCACCCCCCAATACCTTCCCAGACCTGCCCCCAGTGTTCCTCAGTGCCCCCTAAACCTTCCGAATGTCTCCCAGTATCCCCAATGCCTCCTACTGTTCCCCTAGCATCTCCCAGTACCCATCCAGTGCTTCCCAGTGCCCACCCAAACCTTCCTAGCACCTCCCAGTATTTCCCCAGACTCACCTAGTACCCTCCCAGACCTACCAGTGTTCTTCAGTGCCCCATGGACCATCTCAGTGCTATTCCAGTGTTTCCCAGTACCCTCTCAAACCTCTCCAGTGCTTCCCAATACCCACGCATGCTTCCCAGAACCCTCCCAAACCTCCCCATTGCTTCCCAGTACCCACCCAAACTTCCTCAGCACCTCCCAGTACCTCCCTGGTGCTGTCAAATGCTTCCCAGACCTCCCCAGTTACCTTCCAGTGCCCCCAGGGACTGCCCAAACCTTCCCAGTGCATCCCAATACACCCTCAGACTTCCCCAATTCCCCTAGTTCTCTCAAATGCTCACCAGATCTGCCTAATGGCTCCCAGTACTCACCCAGACTTCCCCAGAGCTTCCCAGTACCCTTCCAAACCTCCTCAGTGCTTCCCAGTACCCTCCCAGTTCTTTCCAGAACCCCCTCAGACTTCCTCAGGTGCTCTCAAATACTCCTCAGACCTCCCCAGTGCTTCCCAGTCCCCACCCAGACATCCCCGGTATCCCTTCATACTTTCCCCAGGACCTCCCAGTACCTCCCTGGTGCCCTCAACTCCTCCCTAGACCTCCTGTCACCTCCCAGTGCCTCTTGTGACCCACCCAAACCTCCCTAGTAGCTTCCCAGTCCACTCCCACACCTCCCCAGTGCCTCCCAGTACATGCCTGCTGCCCTCAAATACATCCTAGACCTCCCAAGTTGCCTCCCAGCTGCTGCCCAGTGCCTTCCCAGTGCCCTCCCAAGCACCTGCGCAGAAGGAGGCGGGGTGGGCGCTGGGCCTGGCGCTGCACCAGCTCACCCAGCAGCACAGCCAGTACATCCGTGAGCAGCTCCAGGCGCCCGCCCAGCCCCAGCCCCAGCAGCGAAGCTGCCCGCAGCCGCTCCCGGCGTGATAGCGAGGCCTGCGCCTCCAGCGTGTGCACCAGCTGCATATGCCACAGAGGCCAGGCACACCAGCATGGGTGTCACACGCAGGGTGGACATGCAAACACAGGGCACCAGCACATAGGTGTACACATATGGACACAGACACCAAGACACAGACGGAAACACCAGCACAGGCACCGGCACGCGTATGGAAAATGGGTGCCAGGAAAAGGGCGTGTGGATGTGGATGAATGTTGACATGTGAACGTGGGCACACGGACATGGGCACGTGAACATGGGCACATGGACATGGGCACACGACCATGGAAACATGAAACAGGGGAAGCAGAGAAACACAGCATCAGCTTCTCATTCTTCTGTCCCCACTCCATCCCCCTAACCCCACTGTACCCACCTCCATACACCTCCCTACATGCCCCTATTCCCCACATCTCCCAGACCTGCCCCCTCATACCCCAGACTCCCCCACCTCCCTGTATCTCTCTCTGCCCCCATCTCCTGGACCTTCCCAACGCCCCCTTGTATGCCAGCCTCCCTCCCTGCAACCTCGCTCACTCCCCTGTACCCCAATCCCCTTCCCCCTAGCCCGCCCCCACCCCAGCTCACGGTGAGGAGGAAGGTGCGATTGTTAAGCAGGCCAGACAGTTGGGCCAAGCCCTGCTCCAGGGCAGGGCTGCGCCCCTCATGGTGGGGAGGCCGTGCCCCTGGGCCCCCGCCAGGCCCCGGGAAAAAGGCATGCAGGGCATAGGCCCCATAGTCCAGGAAGGGGATCCCAGCCGCCTCCAGCTGCCCCCCAAGGTCTGTCATCTCCGTCATCAGATCTGGGGGGGGGGGGAGGAGAGAGCAAAAGGAGAGGGTGCCCCCTGAATTAAAAGAGGCGACTATTCCCTCTCAGTGTATCCCTTCGCCACCTCCCTTAGAACTAACCTCCTTCCTCTGCCCCTCTTCATAGACTGATCCCCAATATCCCTCCATCTGCACCCTACTCAAGAACTAACCCCCCAGTATTCCTCCACCTACTCAGTGATGGCAGGTGACAGAACAAGGAGCAATTATCTCAAGTTGCAGCACGGGAAATTTAGGTTAGATATCAGGAAAAACTCTCTCATGAGGAGGGTAGTGTAACACAGGAACAGGTTACCTAGATAAGTTGTGGAGTCTCCATCCTTGGAGGGTTTTAAGCCCTGGCTAGACAAAGCCTTGACTGGGATGATCTAGGCGGGGGTGGTCCTGCTTTGAAGGACCACCACCCAAAGGCCCTCAGGCTGGACTAGATGGCCTCCTGAGGTCCCTTCCAGCCCTCATTTTCTGTTTTTGAGACTCTACCCCTTCCTCAAGGACTACCCCCCGACACCTGATATCCCTCCACCTGCCCCCACCAGGACTAAGCCCCCTAATATCTTTCCAGGGATGAAGCCCTCCCCTTGATATCACTCCACCTGCCACTATTAGGGACTAACCCCCCTCCACATGTGCCATTCCCACCTTCAGGGACTAACCCCTCCAATATCCCTCCATCTACCCCCTCAAGGACTAACCCCCAATTTCCCTCTGCCCGCACCAGGGACTAACCCCCAGTATCCCTCTGGCCCAGTGACTCACCTCCGCCAGCCACATCATGCTCCCTACTGATACCCTTCCACCTCACTTTCCTCATTACCTCAGGGGAGGAACTATTTTTATCCCCACCCCACTGCTATACCAGTGAACTCCTTGCGGCACTGGTCGCCCACACTGACTTCCAGGTTCTCCAGTTGCACCAGCACCTTCTTGTACTCCTGCAGTGCCTGCTTGCTCTTCCGCCTGCCACAAGGTGAGAGGGGGAAGGCGTTAGCCACAGCAAGAGGGTGTTATCCTGCAGGGATGTCATGCTCACGGGGTTAGTTATGGGGTGGTAGAAGGCAGAAGGATACCTAGGGCCATTTGCCCTGAAGTTGTGAGCAAAGAGGGATGGAAGGGGGCAATTTAGCTCTAAAAGTTCCTGGGCGGAGGGATACAGGGGTGAGAGGGGACTGTCATTTGCCACTTGGGGGGGCATCTAGGCAGCAGGATATGGGGGTCAGGAGGGGTGATTTGCTCCTGAGGGGAAAAGGGGAGCTGGTCAGAGGGAAATGGAAAGGCAGGAGGCGACACATGGCCCCTGAGGGGGGCACCTGGGTAGAGGGATACAGGGGGCAGGAGAAAGCTAGCGATTTGCCCGAGGAGGCATCTGAGGGAAGGGATATGGGGGTGGGTGATTTGCCCCTAAGGGAGGTGGGGACAAGGCAGAGGGCTGTGGCAGGGCATTATTTGCCCCTGAGGAGAAGCTGCTAGATGAAGAAAAACAGGGAAGGAGATAGACAGGTGATTGGTCCCTGAGTGGGTATCTGCATAGAGGAATACAGGGGGATGCTAATTTGGGTCAGAGTGGGGGAGTGGACTGGGTTGAGGGATTTGGGAAGTGGGAGGAGGCTGGTCATTTGCTCCTGATGGGAACACCTGGGTGGAAGAATATAGGGTGGGTGACTTGCCCCTAAGGGGAGTCAGGGGCCAGGTGGAAGGATGTGGAGGGGTGATTAATTCCTGAAGGGGACAGGGGACAAGTGGAGGGATATGGGGGTGGGTGATTCAGCACTGAGGGGAAGAAGTTGGCAGAGGGATAGGGGGACATGGGCAGCAGGTGGTCCTCACCTGTACATGAGAATAAGGAGGACAACCACGAGAACCAGGGCAGTGGCACCTACCCCCAGCCCAGCCTGGGCACCAGGGGGCAGGCCGGGGGGTGGCTCTGCCTCGTAGTGCACTGGGCCCAGCACCACCTGCACATGTCCCATCTCCACCTAGAGCATGGGGAGTGGGGCAGGGGTTTCAGAGCTGGGTGAGAACCAACTCCCGCCCAGCAACCCATGGGGACCCCCCCACCCCTCCAAGACTCTTCCATGGGGCCCCTGGCCCCTCCCTCACCCACCCCTAAGCCCCCCATGGGGAACCCTCCCCACAAGATTCCCCCACCTCTCCCCTGTCCCCCAAACATCCCCTTTGCCCCATGACCCTCCCTCTGGGGGCCCTCCCAAGGGGACTCCCACCCCCTGACCACCCCAAGGAGATCCCCACCCCCAAATCCCGCTTACAGTGACCCCTCCCCCAGACCACCTGTAGACCTTTGACTTCCACCTTCCCCAGTACTCACGACGAAGGGGGCAGGTTGCAGGGAACCAGGTGGTGCTGGGGGCGGCTCACAGTACAGGTGAGTGGGTGTGAGGGTCTTGACAACACAGAGCCCTGCTCCCACCCGTGCCACTACCTCTTCCTTGGATGTGCCTAGCGTCAGCCCCTCACCCCGGGGGGGGGTGGGGGGGGGGGGTCAGGGAGAGCCTCCAAAACTGATCTCTGCTCCCCAGTCCCCTCCATTTGCCCCCTCCCAATACCCCCTATACCACACAGCCTCCCATAGCTGCATAAGCCCCTCACCCTCCAAGTAACCCATAAGCCCCACCAAGTCCCCCCCGCAACAGCCCTATACCCCCACCCTTACCTCCCCAAATATCCCATAATGCCTCCCATCCCCAGCTCTGGCACATGGGGCATGCACCATCCCTAATCTGCCCCATATCATCCCCAGCCTGCTCCACAGCCTCCCTCAACTGTCCCATAAACCCTCCCACCCCCACCCCAGGTCACACCAACTGACTGGCAGCCCCTCACCTCCAAGTACCCAGTAACCCCTCCACTCAAACTCCCAAAGTACCCATTCCCCTCCCACCCCAGCTCTGGCACACAGGCCACACAGACCCTCCCCACCAAGCCTGTCCCACAGCCCCCCAACCTGCCCCATAAACCTTCCCGCCCCCAGACTTTGCACCTGCCCCAGATGGCCCAAATCTGCCCCACCTGCCCCCTCAGCAACCTTACCTCCCACCCCCCAAACTGCCCCCTCACCTCAAGGTGCAGCAGCATGCCAGGCTTGAGGACAGGGGGGGCGCCCAGGGGCCAGTGCAGCTGGGGGTCAGGGGCGTAGGTGAAGGGGCCACCCCCTGGGCCAGTGAAAGGCATGTGCAGCCCATCCAGCTGAAAGAGCAGCTCCCGCAGGCGGGTGTGAGGGGGCACCGCCGGTGATGGGCACAGCAACAGTGCTGGGGAGGCTGCAGAGCAGGTAGTGCCACACTACACAGGTGCAAACAGAGGGGTTAGAACCACCCCAGATGCCTGGGTTCAGTGCTAAGGTTCTGGCTGGGGGAGCTTAAAACAGCCCTGGACACCTGGGCTCCATGCTAGGGCCCTGGCTGGGGAGGGGGGCTTGAAATGGCCCGGGATGCCTGGGTTCTGTGTTAAGACCCTGGCTGGGAACTGGAGGGGGATGTGGTTAGAACAAGCAGGTTGGGGCAGCTTGGAATACCCCGGATGACCTGGGTTCATCCCAAAGGCCCTGGGGGTCAAGAGCATAAAGCAAAGAGAATGAGAGGGAGTTTGAGTGGCCCCAGATGCCTGGGTCCTATGCTAGGGCCCTGGCTGAATGCTGGGGAGTCAGAGCAGGGGATAATGGGGGCTTAGAACAGCCTTGATGCCAGTGTTCCTTGCAAGGGTCCTGGCTGGGGCTGAAGGAGTTTGGACAAGGGGAGTTGTAGGGGGAGGGGCTTAGAAACAGCCCCCCACCCCCCAGCTGCTGCAACTGAGGGGTCAGACTATGAAAGAAAGGGGGGGGTGTCTCAGGGGGCTGTTTACAACAGCCACAGTCACCTGGGTTCCCCCCAAGGGCTGGGACTGTGGTGTTTAAGGAGGAGGGTTGGGGGGAGCAGCTTAGAAACAGCCCCGGATGCCTGGGTTCTGTGCTAGTCCCCCACCTAGCACAGGCTGGCTGCTTTAAACCCCGCACAGGCTGCGGGGTTTAAAGCAGGGAGAGTTGGGTGAAACCTTAGAAACAGCCCTGGACCCCTTGGGTTCATCCCACAGAACTCAGCTGGGACTGGGGTAGTGGGGATTCAGAGAATGGGGGTTGGGGAGGGTTTGGAATAGCCCTGGACACCTGAGTTCTGTGCTAGGGTCCTGGGGTGATCAGAGCAGGGGAGGGGGAGGGGGAGGGGCCCGCTTAGAAACAGCCCAGAATGCCTGGGTTCCTCCCATGAGCCTTATCTGCAACTGGGGCATCAGAATAGGAAGAAGGGAGGGGCAGTTAGGATGGACCACAGCACCTGGGTTCCTGGCCTGGGCTCTGTCTGGGACTGGAGGGTTAAAGCAGGGGGCAGGCTGGGGGGAGGTGGGGTCTTGGAACAACCCCAGACAGCTGGGTCCCCCTACTAAGCCTCAGGTGCAACTGGGGGGGGGGGGGGATGGTCAAACTAAGGAAGAAGGAGAGGGGGTTAACATGGCCGCAGGCACCTGGGTTCTTTCCAACGGCCCTCACTGAGGCCTGGGGTGGGTCAGAGCAGAGGTGTGCAGATATGGGGTACAGCCATGGGGGGCTTCCTAGACTTGGGGGGCTTCCCCCCAGCTCACTTACCTCTAACAGGCTGCCCACCAGAGTGCAGGGCTCCGAGGCATCTGGAAGGACTCCAGGGCACCCCTTCTTGCAGCGACCAGGTGGCAGGGTGCTGGTGGTGGGGAGTTCCAGCACAGCGACCAGCCGTGGCTGCTGTGGCACATCCAGGTTGGTACCTGCGGCCTGGATGATGCGCCCACCCCTGTGGAGCCAGGTGTTCAGAAGGGGAAGAGGGGTGGAACTGTGAGCTTTCAGGCCCCTCCCTCTTCTGCAGCCCCACCTTAGGCTCATAGCACAGCCCCGCCCCCCACAAGTACTCACCCACAGAAGCTAGAGCGGGGCCAAGCCCAGGTAATGTTGGGATTCGGCGCATAGTGGAAGCCACCCCCCCCTGTGAGATGCCGCAGAACTTTGCCAAACTGCACCCGCAGAGGGGCTTCTCCCAGGGTCCCCCCTGTGGTGAGGCACACCAGGGTCCCTGGGGCTGGGGGCTCCACACTGTGGGCAGAAAGGGGGCAAATAAGTCCTTAGAGAGGGAGCAATTAGGTGCAAGAGAGGGCAGATATTGGGGTATGGGGGAAGATAAAATGGAGCTGGGGTGTAGTGGTTTGCATGAGGGGCACATATGGAGGTCGGGGGTGGGGGAGAGTTGGGAGGCAGGTTGGGCCTTAGGCTTGGAGTGTGGAGAAAGCAGAGGTGGGCAAGTTGGGCCCCAAGGTTGGTGTTGATGGCGTGGGAGTAGATATCAGGGTGCAGGGAGCAGCTGGGGGTGAGTTTTGGGGATGCAGAGGCAAATATAGGGGTACAGAAGGTAGCTGAGGGGGGTTGGGCCCTGAGTTATGGGAGTGGGGGCATATCAGGGTGTGGTGGGAGCTGGGGGTGGGATTCGGAGGTACAGGGGCAAATATTGGGGTGTAGGGGGCAGGTTAGGCCCTGGGTTTGATTTTGGGGGAATAGGGGGATTGTTGAGGTGTCAGGGTATGCGGGAAAGATATCAAGGTGTGTGGGGAGCTGAAAGGGGGATTTGGGGGATGGGGCAGATAGGGTGTGGGGGGCTAAAGAGGGATGGGGCAAAGGCAGATAATTGGGGTGTGGGGACAGCTGTGGTGGTTTGGGGAGATGGAGGCAGATATTGGGGTGTGGGGGCAGCTGGGGTGGGTTTAAGGGGGCAGGGCCAGATCTCAGGGAGCAGGGGAGGTGTTAGAAGGCAGAGAGAAGGGGGGTTGGGAGACAAAGACCAGGGAAGTGGGGAGATATTAAAGCATTGGGTGGGTTTGGGGGTGCAGAGCAGGGGGAAGGAGAGTATCAGGGTGCAGGGGGAGGTTTGGGGGAGCTCACATGGTACAGGGCAGGTTTGTGGTGCTGGGGGGCATGGGCAGTATTGGGGCAGCACTAGCTTTGAGGGTGCAGGGTGGGAGTGGAAGGGTTTGGGGTTGCAGACAGTGATGATGGTATTAGGATGTGGGGGGCTCACTGAGCAGGTTTGGGGAGGCTGGGTGTGGGATGAGCAGTATTGGGGAGGCAGGGGGCTCACAGGGCAGGTTGGGGTGCAGGGAGCAGTATAAGCAGTATTGGGGAATCAGAGGAAGTTGGGGGCTCACAGGGCACATCTGGGAGTGCAGGGGCTTGTGGGGCTCCGAGGTCAGCAGGGGGTGCAGGGGGGTGGGTAGCACCAGGGGCTCACAGGGAACAAGGTAGGTCCCCTAGGAAGACAGCAACATCGGGGCCTGTGGCCAGCTCCTCCCCTGTCACAGTGACCTGCGTGCCTCCAGCCACGGGTCCAATCCGGGGGTGCAGCTCCCACAGCTGGGGGTCCTGCCAGAAGGGGCAGTATTATTGGGGGACAGGGGGGATAATTACCCCTCCCAATCTGCCCGCCTTGCTCCACTGGCACTGACCTGATAGGTGAAATGCTGGATGGAGACCCCAGGGGGCTGGTCCCCAACAGCCACCTCCACAGGCCCTGAGACCCCACCTTCAGCTGGGGGTACTTGGCACACAATCCTGCAGGGGGAAGGGGGTGGCATTGATGTGAGGGCACTGCTGGGGGAAGCTCACAGCACTGAGGAAGCAGGGCTTACCTGGTTGGGGAGGGGCACAGCTGAAGGAAGCTCACAGCATTGAGGTGGCAGGGTGCTTACCAGGCAATAGTGGTGTGGGCAGGACACTGCTGCAGGGAAGCTCGCAGCTGGGGCAGGATTTAGCATGACGGGGTCAGGCTTATTGCTAGGCTTACCAGACAACCAGATAGTAGTGGGTGGGGCAGGCAGGACACTGCTGAAGGGAAGTTCCCAGCTAAGGAAGGGCCTTACCAGGCAGCCAGAAGGTAGTGAGCGGAGTCAGGTGGACAGGGCACTGCTGAAGGGAAGCTCCCAGCATTGGGAGGCAGGGCTAGCTGCTGGGGGTAGGGCTTACTGGGCAGCCAGGCGGTAGCGGGCAGGGTCAGGCAGGCAGGGCCTCCCGGCCACGCGGACAGTGCCAGCCACGTCCTCGAAGCGTTGGCCCAGGTCAGAGCCAGCAATGGTCAGCAGCAGCCCACCCTCAGGGGGGCCACTCAAGGGGTGCACCTGAGGGGGAGAGCAGGACCCCGACAGCCAGTCAGGATCAGTTGGTCCTCTCAGCCTGGATCACGACCTCTAGGCCTCAGCCCACTGCCCCCAAGCCTGGGCTGGGCCAACTCAGCCTTGGATCAGAACCCCCTCCGCCCGTCAGGATCTGGCCCCTTTTTTCTGGATTGCACCCCTACCCTCCCAACCCAATCAGGACCCCCAAGCCTCAGCCCTGGTACGCAAGCCCAGATCAAGACCCCTAGCCATCAAGATCAGCCCCCCCCAAACCAGATCAAGACCACTAGGCCTCAACCCCCTCCCTGCCCCAGCTTGAATTGGGCTCCCCCACCCCCCACCCCCCAACTCACCTGATGTATAAAGGGGGCAGGGCAGGAAGGTGGGGCACCCCCCGGGGGGCAGAGGCGGTGGTGCTGGCAGCCAGGAGGGCACCACTGGCATCCTAGAGCAGGAGAGGCCGCACGGCACCGGCTGCAGTCAGGCCGGCCCACAGAGCAATCATACAGCATCACTGAAGAGGTGGGTGGGGAGGGCAGACCATGACACTGCTGAGGAAGCTCACAGCACCATGCAGCCACTTATGATGCAGCTGGGAAATAGCTCACAAATTCCCCATGGCACTGCTGGGGGGAAGCTCACAGCCACCCTATGACACAGCTGGGGAAGCTCACGGCCTCCTGGACCCCAGTGACACTGCTGGGAGGTAGCTCACAGCCTCCCATGGCAGTGCTGGGGTAAAGCTTGCAACATTCTCCTGCCCATTCCATGGCACTGCTGAGGGAAGCTCACAATGTTCCCTGCCCTTCCCTCCCCCACAAAACACTGTTGGGGGAAGCTTGCAGCCCCACCCACCCCCGACACTGATAGGGAAAGCTTGCAACCTTCCTCTGAGCCCCCTATGACACTGCTTGGGGAAGCTCACAGCTCTCTCCCCCACATAACACCACTGGGGGAAGCTCAGTGTGTGAGGCAGTGAGACTCACCATGTAAGCCAGAGGGAGCGTCCAGGTGCCACCTCTCCCCCACAGTGACATACACGGGGGCTCGGAGCTGGGGAGCTGATGCACCAAAGTCATAGGCATGGGGGCCACACTGGAGCCTATAGGGGCCCCCTGGGGAGGCCTCCACTTCCACCAGCCCCCGTCCGACCTCTAGCACACAGCGTAGCCGTGGCAATGGGACCTGAAAAATGGTGGGGTGGAAGAGGTGAGACCAGGCTAGGACCCCCCAGCATCCCAATATAGTGTAACTGTGGCAAAGGGCCTAGCAAGACCAGGCCTAGATACACCTTACTGCAATATAACCATGGCAATGAAGCCTGTAGAGATGAAACTAGGACTGTTCCCCCGCCCCCCCTCAAGACAGTGTAACCATGGCAATAGGGCCTAGTGAGACCAGGCCTGGGCTCCCCAATGCAATGTAACCATGGCAACAGGGCCTACAAGGCCAAGATCAGCTCCTCCACCCCGAGGCCCCAATATAATGTAACCATGGCAATGGGGCCTAATGAGACCAGGTCTAGATCCCCCATTGTAATATAACCATGGCAATGAGGCCGGTAGACCTGAAACTAAGCCTGCCCCCCAAGCACCTTGGTATGGTATAACTCTGGCAACCTAGTGATATCAGATCTAGGCTCCCCAATGCAACCGCAGCAACAGGGCCCATAGGCCTGATACCAGGCCTCCCCCCCAGCACTCCAATACAGTGCAACTATAAATATGGCAAGGTGCACTGGCACCATGGCAACAAGGCTTGCTCCAAGGGAGGCCTGAAATGGAGTCTGGCCCCACCCTGCAAGACCCTTCTACTGCCCCACACTGTAACTGTGGCGACAGCCCCCCCACGCAAACACACACACTCACCCCCAGCAAATTCAGGTTGTGAGCTTCCAAGTCAAGGGTCACCTCGACCCCCACGGGCACCAGGGGCGATCCCTTGACCACCCCCAAGCGGGGGCAGACCTGGGAGCCCCGGGGGCCCCCCACAGATGCCTACCAAGAAAAGGTGGGTTATTGCATGGGGGAGGAGGGCCCCAGATACCTGGGTCCCCTGCCCAGCCTCCTTCTTATGGCTCTCTCTCTACGGGGAGCA